CTTCAAGAATTGTCCATTCGTTGATGCTTGAGCGGATGTAATAGGCCTAAATGTTACTTTAAAAACCTTTATGATACCCGCATCATGATTGGTTAATGTCTCTGTGAGCTAACGTTGATAAGTTTATTGTGTTTTTAATCTGTTAAAATAGGGAGATGCCAAACCCCTTATAGGTGAACCATTTCCAATAATTAAAATCTCAAACAATAACTAAATCTTTTTAATTACAATTTTAAAAAAATAAATATCTGTCTCCATGTATAATTGTTCCAGCTTAAGTTAAGAAATAAACATCTATTCTAGGCCTCAATCAAAACAGACTCATCAAAGCAATTATAAAAGGAAACTACAGAAGCAGGGACGAGACGACCATTGTTGAATGTTCAATAAATTAATAAAGCTATTAATTAAAGTTCATTTTTACCAGTCTCCCTCCATACAAAACGATTGGTCAATTTTAGTAATGTGATTAATGTTTGGCAGGCCCGCGGACTCACGTCACGATATTATTGGTTTCTACTAAACTTTCTGCCTTAGGACAGGCATACTCGACATTCGGTCAGGATATTTCTCTGATGTAAATTCACTTAACATCCCCAAATAACGGCGCAATAGACGGTTTTTCTTTCATTTTTGTAGTTAATTCTACTTAAAATCAGTATGCAATGATATTAAAGTCGTAAAGTCGTACTATGAATTTGTATGAGGAAAGAAACCCCGATGCGTAAAAGGATTTGAAGACGGTGATTTCGATTCAAAATATGAGCAAACCTTTCATTGATGGACCTGCTACTTTTTTGGAAGGACCAATGTAAAAGTAATCAGTTTTATTTCACCCATTTAACTGTGCAACATACTACGTTAATTACCGTGGTATAGTAAAAAAATACAATAGGAAACAACTGAAGATTTTAAATACTACTTCCTTTACGGTATTTGATAATAATCTGAATCTCTGATTGATAATCAGGGAACAGTTAAATTACAATTTTTTTTAAATTATCTGTTCCCTGGTATAATTTTTCCAGCTTAAGTTAAGAAATAAACATCTGTTCTAGGCCTCAATCAAAACAGACTCATCAAAGCAATTATAAACGAAAGAAGAAGGGACAAGACGACCATTGTCCAAAAAAAGAAAAAAGAAAAAAAAAATACAATAAGGAAACAACTGTAGACAAAATACGTTCGCATTTTAAATACTATTTCACTTCCTTTACGGTACTTGATAATAATCTGAATCTCTGTTCAAATTTAATCGACAAAAGTTACGATACTATTACGAATCTAACACCACTTTAAATATATATATATATATACATATATATATATATATATACATGTATATACACATATATATGCATATATGCATATATATACACACACATATATATGGGCACTAAATGGGTCCATCTTTTGCTAACTTATTTATGGGAAAATTTGAGGCCAATTTCCTGTCCCTACAGCCTAAGAAACCAGATGTTTGGTTTTGTTACATTGATGATACCTTCATGATCTGGACCCATGGTGAAAATAGTTTGGATACGTTCCTATTGAACATTAATTCGGCTCATCCCACAATCAAATTCACTGCTAACAAATCCACAAGCAGTGTAGATTTTCTGGAAATCACCGTGACCATGGAAAACGGTGCACTTAAAACTGATCTCTTCCGTAAACCCACGGATAAGCATATGTACCTGCTCCCTAGCAGCTGTCATCCACCGCACTGTACAAAAAACATTCCGTACAGCCAAGCATTGCGCATAAGACGCATTTGTTCTTCGGATTTAGATTTTCAGAATCGCACAGAACCAGTAGCCGAACATTTCAATTTAGTAGCTGGTCATTCAATTTCAAATTTCAGAGTGATTGCAATTAACATAATGCCAATTGGAGCGACAAAAATCGCAAAGATAAAGAGAATCACTGGGAACTTCTACTTAAAATAACCACACCATTTGGACTCAATATTAGGAACGTTCTCCCAGTACACTAAATTAAACCTATGGCATTCCAAATTATTCTGGATAAATCATTTGGCTTATTCATTGAGGCATGCCTCTAAAGTTTAGTTTTGGCCTTCCTGTTTACTTGTT